AGACGAGAACAAGTCAGGATACAGGATACAGATCACGAGTCTCAGACTCGTGATCTGATTGGCTATTGAAACCTGACGGTGCCCGTTCATTTACAGCGCACAGGGGTCTGAACTGTTTAATCTGAAGGCCCCAAGCAAGTTTAATTATCCTGGCAACACAAGCTAGATGAAATATGATTGGTTAAAAACTCTACCATAATAAGTTATTTTTCGAATGGCTTTCAATGTTATTTAAAATAACATTGAAAGCCACTCAACTAAGTGGAAATAATATGACGTAAAGAATACAGAGAATAATTTTGTTAACATATTTATGAAAATAAAATAACAAATTTATGTTATTTACTTTTCTGAGAATGTTTAGGCCAGCAGAGAAGGCCTTGCTGGCCCTCAGGGTCCGCCACTGCGGTTTAGTATCATCTCAAACTCATCTTGGAACATTACACTTAAAAAAATGGCTGGCACATGATTTGATTTCAGAAAAAAAAAATGACCACTGGAATTTCACCTGGACATGGAAGAGTAACAGGATGAGCACAAAACCCCAAAAAAAAAATCCAGCAAACAGCTGACGGTAAGTTCCACAGAAAAACGAAAAAAAAAAATCCAGCAAACAGCTGACGGTAAGTTCCACAGAAAAACGAAAAAAAAAAAATCCAGCAAACAGCTGACGGTAAGTTCCACAGAAAAACGAAAAAAAAAAAAACAACTCAAAGGTTTGTTCCACGTTATTGGTAACAATATTTATTTCAAGCCAGATCAATTTTTTTTTTTTTTTTTGGTGTCAAGCAAACCTTTGAGGCTAATGTGTAAATAGTTTGATCAAGAAGTAAATTCTGTTTGGCTTCCACGGGAAAGAAAATGTCAGTCACAGGGGCTCAAAACAGGCCAGAGGCTGATGAAGACAAATGTGCAAACACATGTTGGCAGAATTGCTTTTTGGTGGAGTGTGATCGGCGACACTCAGCAGGGCGGAACCACGAGTTGTGATTTATAGTTTTTTTTGTGCTGCCCCTGGACTGCCACTGTCTGCTGCCTCCCATGACTGCCATTACCATGGGTGTCCATAAGAATCGCTTCTCCTGCTGAGGGCAGGGGAGACGAATGAGACGAGATTGGATGAGAGTAGCCAAGAGATAGTCTTGTAATTCAAACGGCGTCTTCCACAAAAGCATGATCTAAAGGAAGAGAGAAGGTGAAAAAAAACACTGCAGACGATATGATAAAGGTCAAAAGGAACCATTGTAAAAGGTTGAGAGCTGTGAAGAATAAGGACACAAAAGCATTTCTTCCCATAGGTCATGCGTGACTTCTTCAGAATGTTTGCAATGAAAAAAAAGAAAGTTGTATTACTCCTGATATAGAAGCAAACAGGGAATTTTGCCTTGTAAAAAACATCTGTTTTAAGAGGAAGTCAAGTGCCAAATTTTCTTTCCAATAATATGTTCTGTGCGCCCCCCACTAATCAGAAACATAAGGCCTAATGACGGTTTTAACAAATGTGACTCCGGCCTTTAAGCTGCGTGGACAATACCAATGAACAGAGGTGCACGTTAAACAACACATCACATTCTACAAACACATGAATAAACATGGGCCGACTGATGATCACTTTGGCGAGTGGCAAGCACATCACGCAACATCATACAGTTGTGTGAGCACTTAGACTACTGCTAATGCAATGTGGGAGCCGCCCTGGCTAGTTCACCAATATTGCACAACGCCAAAGTACTGTAGTGACAGGTGATACGAGGTCACCATGGCAATAGATAAAGTCACTATACTGTATATCTTCTTTTTACAAATCAGTGTGACGTCCAATGATATTCAGACTTGTCCTACAAAGTCTTTTTTTTTTCACATATTGTTGCTCCAATGCAAATTGGCTTTTTGGCTCTTTGTCATTTTCGGGTGAGATACAACGACACTTTCAATCTTGTTGAACTGGCCCAGTACAAGCATCCCTCCCAACCATTGGCCACCAAGACGCGGTCGTTCGTTTTGCTAGGAGCCTTGTGCTGTAGCATCTCCTAGTGGCAGACTGCCAACATGAAAACTAATTAATAGATTCAGTCAATAGTTCCATGTAATTAGAGGACGGGGGGTGGGTTGTACATAAAAAAAAAAATAACCTAAGGTTGTTTGGACGGCGCATTGCTTTGCAGTGAATCGATTATGGACCATTTTAATTGGGTTGTTACTGCTTGACAGCCCGCTTCTCTTCAACTTGCACTGCTTTCGTCTGCATTCATCTTGTTCTCTCACTCTCCAAAAGACGATTCAATCCTTTCATTATTTATTTTTAAGAGCTCTGAACTGTACTGAGGCCTGGAAAATGCAAAACTTTTTTTTTTTAATTGCATTTAGACAATTATTAGCAAAGTCTGATTTGCAGTTTTTTTTTATTCAATCTCAAAAACGGTTGGGGATTTTTCATTGTAAAAAATGCTTTTCCGAGTGTGCATTGACCGGGACATTTTTGACGTAATTGAAAGCAAAATGTTTGGTCGTAATACGTACAACATGTCATTTGTACACAAGCAATAGTAAACAAAAGACAAAGGTTTCAAATCAAAACCCTGCACTTGTGCCCCACATCGTGTGCTCTAACCGTATTTACAGAAGAGACAAGGTTTTGGGCCGTGTGGATGATGACGAGCGCACAGATGATTGAGGTGAGACAGAGGATGGCTTGTGCATTTCAACACTAATATCTCGGTTTATTAGAGAAATAACCGTGTCTATAATCGATTTCTGTGACCACAAGCCCAAGTGGTTCAGGGCAGGATAAATTTGTCGATTCCTTGGGCTTATTAAGCGTATCTGACGATTCAGAAAAAAAATGAAAACAGGATTACTAGGAAATAGAGGTATTGATTTGGTCAAGGATTCAGGTCTTAAATTTCACATTCAACTAGCGAAGCGGGATTTCAATTGTATGCAGTGTTGTCTTGAATTGATGGGAAAAAAATGATGACTTTAAAAACGCCGAAGTCATGCTTTTCACGACTGGAAAAAATAATGAAATTACCTTCAGTAGAAGAGACAGACAATAAGAAGAAACCACATTTACTCTACGGATGATGGCAAAATATTCTTTCCACATTGTCTTTCTTTTTACTCAAATCATACCTGGCATGTCCACAAAACGCTAAAAGTTGATTCAGTCGATTAAATAAGGGCTTCGAGGAAATTGATGAGTTTAAGCATAATGAATAATCGCACCAAGTTTAATATTTAACCCATTTCTTGTACTATTGTGATTTTGTTGATAAATGTGCCTTTTACTCAATGTTCCCCCTACAAAATGTTTTACACATTTTGCTAAATGTTCCTATTTTAAAGTATTTCAACAATAGCAACAGCGTTTTTAATGTTTAGTATTGTAAAACCTGACCTTCAGTGAATGGTTTCAATTGGTTAACGAATTTCCTTGTATCGATTCTGTACATGTATTTTATCCAGCAGGTGGCAGCGTGTGTGTGCGTGTGAGTGTGCGTGTGTGTGCGCGCGCGTCTGCACGCTTTGCTTCTTCTGTGACGATAAACCGGAAATAGGAAGTGGAGCAATTCGGCCACTGTCAGAACAGATTAGCTTCTCGAGTGTTGCGCATTCATTCTGCTCCTGTGTTGCATTTTGCTCTGGCGGAAAACGGCATCTTGTTGAGGGCCGCTGAGAGAATGCCGTTTTGCGGGGGAACTTCGTGGAGAATTGTCGTCGCTGCAGCGCTCGTGGCGCTGTTGCTGGATGCTGCTGCTCGTGCAGACGCCAAGGTAAAACAGGCGTACATCCTGCGGGGGAAAAAAACCTGTTCGGTGAAATTATTATGAACGAACCATAATGTTCTGTCAACACATGAGGTAATAGATATCCATTTGCAGGACTATATCGGAAACAAAAGTGATATGACAAAATATACTATGTTTCATGCATGTTGTATTTTATTGTTGATGTTTTTAAATACCATGAACAGCAAGTAGCCCTTCATTTAAGTCGTGCTCTATTTCGTTGGTTCTACTACAATGACAGAGCTTTGAAGACGTTCGCTGCAAGTGCATCTGCCCGCCTTACAGAAACATCACTGGCCACATCTACAACAGAAATGTTTCCCAAAAGGATTGGTAAATGCAACGCGTTTCTCCGCTTGTTCCGTTCCAACCAATTGGAGATTCGTCGCCTGTTCAATTCTGATACATGTAGTTTGTCTTTTCCCCTAGCCACTGCCTCCATGTGGTGGATCCCATGCCGGTGCCTGGCCATGATGTGGAGGCTTACTGCCTGCTCTGTGAGTGCAAGTACGAGGAGCGGAGCAGCAACACTATCAAGGTAGGACAAGGCTTCCTCACTAGTAAATTTTTACTACCTCAGTTATTATTATTATTATTTGTCAATTAGGGGTTCTTAACATTTTGGCAGTGGTTATTTTGACGTGACCGGCAACTCGCCGCCTGGTGTTTTTTGCCGTGTATCTCGCAGGAATATCAAGTATAAATTATGCGCTGCTCAAAGTGTGCCTCCTTGTGCTGTACCGGGCAGGTACGGCTTTATTCCTTCCTGTCCGAATCCCGCTTTCTACCCTTTTTATTCGAACGGCCACAGCTGGAATCGGGAGCCAGTTAAGGTGGAAGCCAGTAGAACCGTAACACAGCAGGCATCAGGCTAAAATAACCTATTCACGACCAACCTACTGTAATCACGGGAAAATAGCTGATTCACAACTGGCCCAGAATTCCTTGCTAACATAATAATCGCTGCCTAAAAAAACAACAACAACAAAACACATGTGGGCGTCACTCTTCTGCCAATATGATGCTGTCCACTGCACTTTATGACTCCCAGACCATCCTATTTTTTTCTCATCAGGAAAAATAAGTAAACCAGTGGCAAGATCGCCTTCCAGCCCTAATCTACAGCAATTTTCATGATGAAATTCAGATAATTTTACGGCATAGGAACGAAACGAGGACCGATAATGCGACATGCGTGTACTGTTGCATAGTGTACGGGATGTAGGCTGGGCTGCAAGAGGGCACTGGTCGAGCAAGTTAGCCAGATTCATTTCATATACAGTATGATGTTGGTGCAACTAAGAAATGTCTGCCATCCAGTGGTAATTTCAGATATTACATCTTGAAAGGAGAGTGGACCCCTGCAGGTTTGTCGTATTTTTTTTTCTATTTGTTCTTTTTTTTCATATATTGAATAGTTTTCCCATTTTTTAAAATCTGCATTTCAGGAGGAATTTGGGGGTTTGTAAAAAAAAAAGAATAAATAAAATAACTGTTTTTTTTTTTTTTGTATTTTTTTTTTAACTACATGATGATTTTTGAACATGTGTCTTGTGCCAGTTGCCCAACCCTGTACTAAATAGTTGCACAAGCTCTGGTTAACAATGACTGCTTTTGCCACAGGTGACGATCATCATATACCTATCTGTTGTGGGGGCACTGTTGCTGTACATGCTGTTCCTCCTGTTGGTGGATCCTCTCATCCGCAAGCACGACGCATACACCCAGCCCCTGCACAACGAGGAGGACTCTGAGGTATGTTGAATACTCGGCACGTGCATTGACATCGGCTCAAGGTAGCCATTCCTTTTGCTTTCAAGTATCTGGGTTTCTCCATGTGCGCGCTTCTCTTCTGCCTGCGTCTAGGAGATGCGTCCACGGGTAGGCAGCAGCCAGGCCAGAGGAAACACAGTGCTGGAGCGGGTTGAGGGGGCACAGCAACGCTGGAAGAAGCAGGTCCAGGAACAGCGCAAGACTGTGTTTGACCGCCACAAGATGCTTAGTTAAACATAGCGTCGACCATTCAGAACCCAGGTTGAGAGCGGGTATTTCCTCTGCCATCAGCTGCACTTTCTTTATTGCTCTTCACTGTCACAATTTCACAAAATGGAGTTCCGTGGCTTGACCCAAAAATATAACTCCTAGTGTAACGCTGATGATCATGACACTTCTCCCTACTTATCTTTGGGTTCCTTGTCAATAACCTACCAGTGGCGAACCAACTACTGAATGTACATTAGAGTAACACCCCCCCCCCCCAAAAAAAAGGCTTATAATTTGCCTACCTTAATAGATTAAACCATAAATATGTGATGTGTTCAAAATTTGTTTGGCAGATGAAGGGCAAAAATGTTGTATTCCATGAACCTCCACGTCCAACTTGCCAAGATGTGCCAATACAGAAATGGCATACATTTATTGTGTTCCAATAATACTTAAGTAAAATGTCATTTCATAATGTCCCATCTGGTTGAAAAGCAAAGTGAGGAGAGTCTCTGTCACCCAAATGCCAAAGTGGAGTCTACGATAATTGCAGACAACCTTGTAATAACCACACTCTTTGATTCTCATCCCATAATCAGCTGATTAATGTTGAATGGCAATGCAAACTGAAACTTGCATTGGCATGCAAACAGTAATCATTACGTCTGCCTCAAATTTACAATCAAAAGGTCAATCTAATGACCCACTGCACATGAAAAAGAAAAAAAAAAGATCTGATTTAAAGTGATCAGAGCATATCCTTGTATGTTCTGATTGTGAAACGCGGTCATGTCAAAGAGTGGGTTGTGCTGGTCTTCTTTCATTTATAGTTGCTTCATTTTTCTTCCCTGGTTTAAACCAAAATCATTGCCGTAATCAGAAAGAATGATTTCTTCACTCTAGTTGAGGGATGAGAGCAACTGTAAACAGCACAGATGTTCACCATGGTTGTGAGCACAAAATGGACATGGCGACTGTTTTTCATTTATTTCACTCCCTTAACCGCTTGCTCTAACGTGGCTGATCTTAGCACAGGGGTAGGGAAACTCTGGTTCCTCGAGAACCATATCCTGCCTGTTTTAGATCCCTCCCTACTCCAAAAAAACTTATTCAAATGATCAGTTGTATTAGCCAGGGCTTCGGCGCCCCCCTTGTGGCATTTTAGGGTGTTGCAGAAAGCAATAGTTGGGTATTTTTTAGCGACAAGTGGAGGAAAAATTCCCCATGAAAAAAATAATAAATAAGTAATTGTGTGAGATGCGGCTTTCGACTGGACTCTGATGCACTTTCCTCATTTGCAACTGGACCAATCACAGAATTATTGCAAGCCTTTGCTACGAAACATAAGCTCAACCATTTTACCTTTTGGCCTTGCAACACACATGAATGTCCTTTTATCCTGGTTTTAATCTCATTGTGAGCTCCACAAAATGTGTGACACTTTTTGTTGGCCATGAAGCATTGTTTGAAGGATTAGGAAAATCTCGTCAAGCACACCAGTTGTTTATTCATAATTTATTGCTGTTGATGGTACGTTGTGCACATAATCATAGTATGTTCTATTTGTGTTTTTCCTCTTTTCCTTTGTTTTGGTGATGCACAAAAGCCAAATCAAAATTTGGTGCCCAGTGCACGCTATTCATATCTTACAAAAATAACTAGCAGATGATTAAGCCTGGCGGTATGACTTGGTATCATATAAATTCACTTTGTTGTATTTTAAATCCCCATTGCTCCTAATGTAATGCCCAGTCACTTAGTTTTCATCATTTAATTTGTCATGATTGATTTATGACTAATTTGAATGTTCTTGCTGTTATTTTGTATTTATATTGATTTGTCTGTATATTTGTCTCGATGCAAAATAAGAAATCACTGGTTAAGAAGTAATTGTGGGTGTGTTTGTCTTCCTAATTTGCTCATACTGAATATTAGCACTAGAGAGCGACATACAACGTGATGGACTACGATTTGCCCGGTATCAATACTGCTCGCTTGTCAAATTATCAGTTCAATGATTCTTGAACATGTATGTTGAGTTGCATCTTCACTTTTCATCACGTTACCGATTTAAAATGGAGCACATGTTGATGCAACATGATCTATTTTTGCATACAAACAAGTCCGAACAAATGTCAAACACGCAACCTTTTTTTATTGTCTTAATTTATTTGGGCAAAGTGAGTGAGTAGTTGTTGGTGTTGAATAATCATACACTTCCCTCAATTAAAAAAAAAAAAAAAAACATAAACCTGGGGAACAGATGTACACACTGAGGATGAAGACTTCATCAGCCTTAGTTTCACGCCGTCACCCCCCCATGCTCCCCTCTTGATTACATCCCCTCCCTTCTTCCACGTTCTATCCCCCCCCCCCCCACTCCCCTCCCAAACCTTTTTACCATCCCCAAGCATGGCTCGCCACTGGTTCACAGTCTAAAATTAAACTCCAGCAGGGCCAACTGTGCTTCCAACCACTTGGCCCGCAGATCTTCTTGTCTGAAGTCCTCAGTGAGGAGAGGCCTTTCGCTCTGCTGGAGAGACAGAGGAGCATAAACCGGATTCTCAGGTTTGCCGGTACAAGGAGGGCCACTCAACCCCCAGTTGGGATTGTACAGCCAGTGGAAATATTTCTCCGGGATTAAGGTGTGTTGGAGTCTCCAGGATGGCAGCAAACTCGGACGCGTCCAAGCCGGTCATCATGAATGAAGAGGAGCTGAAGAGGAAGCAGCGGGAGAAGCTGAAGAAGTTACAGGCCACGGGGGGCAACCCAAGACCTGCCAGATCCCTGTTCTTCTTCACTCTTAAAAACCCCTTCCGAAAGGCCTGCATCAACATTGTGGAGTGGAAGTATCCTTTATATTCTATCGCCATTTATGACAGGTGCTTATTTGTTGAGCCAAAGAGACGGTGATTGTGGTGCGGCAGGTGCTCAAACTATTGCGCAACCTGATAAAGCTGTGATTAAGATACTTTACACAAGCTGTATACTGATATGATGTCAAAGCATTGGCCACTTCTCCTTAATCTTCGTTCATTTTACTCTGTGACGTGTAAAGACTTCTGTTATTCTCTGGCAGCCTGCGCCCGAGTCAATTTTGTCACCATGAATGCAAGGCCATTCTCTGTTTAATGTGGAAATGGCGCTCAAATGCTTCCACGATGTGAGGCTCGGCGTTTGAGCAGACGGCTGTCCGCTGAGTGATGTTATGAGGATCCTGCAGGGACTTTCCTGCTTTTATTTTAGCTTCATGCCCATTCTTGGTTCAGACATCTTCAACACCCAGAACAAACTTAGCTGACACTAATTTCTGTCTTTATAGACGACAGCTTGGCTGTTAAATTGAGAAGTATATGGATGATGGCCAAGGTTTTGCTCCTTCGGATCCCTTAAGTTCCCTACTTAACAATTTAGGGCTGATTTACTGATATCTATCTATCTATCTATCTATCTATCTATCTATCTATCTATCTATCTATCTATCGATCTATCTGTACATTTCTCTCTCTCTCTCTCTCTCTCTCTCTCTCTCTCTCTCTACATATATATATATATATATATATATATACATATATATATACTGTATACAGTATATATATGTGTATATAAATATAAATAGATCTATCTATTTATCTATATAAATATCTAGCGATCGATCGATAGATATATCAAAAAAGAGATAGATATGGGCGGCCCAGTGGTTGACTGATTAGCACGTCGGCCTCACAGTCAGGAGGTGCAGGGCTCGATTCCGGCTCTGGCCTTCCTTTGTGGAATTTGCATGTTCTCCCTCTGCCTGTGTGGATTTTCTCGGGGTACTCCAGTTTCCTCCCACGTTCCAAGAACAAGCATGGCAGGTTAATGGAACACTCTAAATTGTCCCTAGTTGTAAGTGCAGATGGTTGTTCATCAATCTGTGCCCTGCGATTGACTGGCAACCAGTTCAGGGTGTCCCCCGCCTACTGCCCAAAGACAGCTGGGATAGGCTCCAGCACGCCCGCGACCCTTGTGAAGATAAGTGGATCAGAAAATAGATGGATGGAGATATATTTTATATATAGATATATGTATATGTATATGTTAGATTTCTGAACATATGGGAAAGTCAACACGGAAAGAAAGAGCGTACACAGATCGTAAACATTGACCCCATTATGGGAATGTACAAATTTGTCACCACATGCTCATTCAAGTCATGAGCTTTTTTTATTGCATAAGTATAATCACATTGGTATGTCACCCTGCAGCAGATGTCGCCCACAAGTGTAGTTGCAGCTTTGCAGAAAAAAACAAAAACACTTTCAGCTCTCACAGACGAAAGAACGTGCAGTGTATAGTGACATTACGAGAATGGTAGAAGAGCCCGACTCATTTTCACACAAGTGTGTGTTGCGGTGCTTTGGACATATTCTTGGGACCTGCAGCTGTCCTGCTATATCACAGGACATGATGCTGACCTGGCAGGGGGGAATTCTCTGACTGAGCCCCCTATGGGTGAGAATGAGAAAGCATGGAGGCGAATATTCCATATCATGTGGAGCAGGGCTGCTGATGCACAATGCAGCACACTGAAGCATGATTTCCCTCTTGCGTCTTCTAAATGCGGCTGATCTGTTGTTTTCTTGTCTTGCCAAAGGGCAAGTCACCCAAGATAAATTGTTTTTTGCATGCTTAACTGCATTTAAATAAAGGAAGATAACAAAACTCTACTTCATAATATTGGATTAGAATGTACTGCACATAAAACTTAAATGTTTATTGTTTTAATACAAACAGTTCTTAAAGATTGAATGAAAAAGAACTGGACTTTAAGTGAAATCCAACTGAACTGTCCAGAGGCAATTTTTCTTTTTGTGCATCCCCCTTGAAGGAGCCAAAGACCAAACCCACAGCAAGATTTACAGGAAGTGCAAATAAAGGGAGTTTGTGCTGACACCATTATCCAATTACATGATGTTTTGCTGCTGAACCTGCCCTGCGGGACACCACAATACTCATCTTGAATCACTTGTTAATGTCTTACTTGTATATGACAGCTCAGTATACTTGGACAAGACAGATGTGCCATGTCAATTGACATGGCGGGGCCCTTAGCGCAGTCTACCCATAACAAATATAATCTGTTCTGATTTCTTTTGGGAGAAAGTGGAATTCCCATCGTCCTTGTGTATTAATCTTGACCATCTTCGTCCAGAACCTTTGAGATTATCATCTTACTGACCATCTTTGTAAACTGCGTAGCTCTGGCCGTGTTCCTGCCCATGCCTGAAGAAGATAGCAATAACACCAATTCCAGCTTGGTAAGTAAGAGTGATATGTCTGTCGGGACTCTTCAGTGAGGCAGGCAAGCCCCAAATGTAATGAAGTCTTCAACATGAGTGTACAGTACTTGTATGGACATTTGTTTGCAATATCTGTGATCTAGATGGATAGATATGGATATCGCGGGTGATGACTAAGAAGCCTGCAAACATTAAAAAAACAAACAGAATATGACTTGTTAAGATATGATTCCTCTCTGTTAGCTGGATTTGAAAGAAACAATGTAGAATGCTGTTGAAGGTATTTCCTGCTTACTGTGATTACAATCACCTTTGGTACCCCCTCACCCCCACTACTTTTATGACCCCTCCAGAGGACATGTCAACATCAAAAGAGGAACTGTTATCTCAAGTATCTG